ATTATGGATGCCTCAGAAAATACACCGAAAGGTCGCTCATATAAGAGCAAGAAATGTAATAGAGCGATGCTTTGGTGTTCTTAAACAAAGGTTTCGGTGCCTGACCAAACACAGAACCTTGCATTATCATCCTGTCAAGGCAGCAGAAATAGAAGAATACTTCAAAGAATTAACTTGAAAATATAGAAGTTTTTTTGCTAGCTATAACATAGTGTAAAATAAATAAATATAATATAAAAATCATGTATTACTTACTATCACTGCATTAGTGTAATTTAGATATAAACATATTTTGTTAAATTAAAATAAAAGACTAAAATAGTACATATCCATTTAACAATATATTTTAAATCCAACTCAACATATAACCTAGATATGTTTGCAATATTGCATTTACATTTTTCCTATATGACAACTATAAAATGTTACATTTTATTCTGAAATGCTGAAAGATTTTGCTTCTATACTTTACAAACATGGCAACCCTAAATGAGTTTCTAAATTATTATAAGAAAAACATGTTCTACAAAACAATTTAGGTTCTAAATAATAAAGCAACATAAGGCAAAAAATAGTAAATAAAACGTTTAATTCGTTATACTTTGTTCATAAAGGCTTTTCTATAACATTGTTTTATGCTGTATTTGTAATCAGGCATGTTAAAAGTTTTGGTGGTTTCTTGAAGAAACACAACACAATTATTCATTTTCACACTAGTAAGACACTTTTACATATTGCACTTAAAACCCCGCATAAAATTAAGCAGCAGAATTAATAACACCATAACCTTGTTTTGAAGGCCCAACTTCTTAATTTTGATAAAACATAACTTAACAAATGAACGTATTTTAGCTAAAAATAAATAAAAATGTTTAAAAAAACTATATAGTTCTTAAATGCATGGTATTACCTTATTTTTAATTCATTATAACTTGTGCTTGTAAATTTAATTATAAATATTTTTATTAAATGTCATTGTAATTAGAGTCTGTATGTTGGCAGAACTGATTTATGTTGATACCAATTGCTTCGCATTATACCTAGCCATATTATAATAATAAACAATAAAAGATAAGAAAAATAATAAATAATTATAATATTTCTTCGTCTAAGGCCTTTTATCTCATTCTGTGTAGGTATACCAGAGATACAACACTGACTCAAACTTTCTTCCAAACCGTTCCAAAATACCAACCAAACTGAGCAAAAGTTACTGTGTTAACGGAATTGCTAACTTAGCAAGAGATACATCAATACCCCGATTATCTACCAGGGTACATTGACTATTCTTTTGATCTGCCGTTAAATTTGAAGTATTGATATTTGCATGTAATTTAGCGTTATGTGAATTAATTCTGTGTACAAAAGAGAGGGGATTTTCGTTAGCATTTTGTCTTATTCTATTTAAGTCATACAATAAGGAATTTAAATCTCTACCATCTCCAAAATGAGCTTGTAAGAGAATTTTAATTTCTAGCCATTGGGAAATGTTTCGCGAATTTATTAATTGAGAGGCTTTTCCTCTTAATTTGTTTTTAATATGAACAAGATCAACTTGAATATCGCTAGCTAAATTTAACGCGGTTTCACTTGAATTTATAAAAGAGTTTAACAGTATTTGATCTCCATCGTATTCGGGTATGATAGAGAAAAGATCTGTTAGCTTTACTGTTACATTTTCATGTAATGTATTACCTTCAACAACATTATTACCGTTTTCTGTCATTATGTAAAAATTATTAAAAATTAAAAACAATTAAATAATCAAGGAACTAATAGGAAAATATTAAAGAAGACTGCTTTAAAACTTACAGTTGCATGGTGATACACTGGAGTCGTAAGATGCTTCTTTTTCTTTATTGGATATGGATTGTAGATTCTTCTTATTTTGAAGGACAGGGTCCAGCGTCGAAATTTTTCTTATTTCGGCGTAAATAAATCCGTAAGACTGCGCCAAATGTTGCGGGACGGAATTAAGAAATGTATTTTAAAAAAAATTATTTATTACTAAACAAACACACACAAACAGTTCTTAAAACAAAAATATTATAATAAAGAAGCAAAGACTTCTGTCAATATAGAGAAGCAATCTTAGACTGAGGACTAAAGGTAAAGTTAATATAGTTCGTTATTTTCTTATCTCTAAACTAAATACTAAGAACTATACAATGTTTCATTGTTTTCGCACTACGCACTTCACTTACACAAAGGGGCACTGTGGGCTGCTGCAGGATCAGCAGAAGAACGAAAATGATATCATCGGTGGTGTAATATTGTGCAATGTGGAGCAATAGGGCTGATTCAGGACATATAACATTGATAATATGGATAATATAAACAATGTGAACAATGTGCAAAACCAACCCTTTGTCCTAAAAAACACATCTGGCCAATATATAGGACGAGGTCAAAGAATAATACTTTTTAATATGTTAAAAAAACATATCGATGAAGGAAAATCAAAAAGTGCCAGTGTAATATTATCATCTGAAGAAACTGGTATTTCAAAAAGTACCTACCATTTGGTTCACCATCAAACAAATGGAACATGACGGAAAGGCTACATCCCCATTAAAGAAAAGAAAGCAGGCAAGTCAATATGACAAATTGAGTGAGGTACAAAAGAAGCGCCTAAGAAACGTTGTTCATAATTTTTTTATAAATAATGAAATACAAAATTTAACTAAAATTTATCAAGTAAGTAATTATGTTATTGAAATATGTTTAATAATTGATTTGAAAAATGTTCCCTTAATGTAAATAATAAATAAAATAGGGTGTCAAATAATAAAAATGGGTTTTGCTTTAAATAAATAGGTTTTTATTATTACAAATGTTTTGTGTTTAAACTAATTGTTTTTCCTTTAGACCGTAAAGGATGATAATAACTTACCACCAATTTCTCGGACAAATTTATGGAGAATTTAAAAAAAAACTTGGCTTCAAGTATGAAAAAAGGTGTAGGAATGATTTACTGGTTAAAAAAAGTAAAATAGTAGGTAATTTGGAGAAGAAAATATATTGATAATATCAGGAGGCATTTAATGAGGGGTTATCGACTGGACTAAAAGACCCTTCAGGAAACTTTAGGTAAAAAGCTTATTACCACCCATATTGGTTCAGAAACATAGTTTGTGGTAGGTGGCTTAAATGTATTTGAGTAAAAGTCAACAGGGAATTAACATGAGGATATGAATAGAAATGTTTTTGAGACTTGGATAAAAAATGTTTTGTCTTTGTAAAGTTTTGTTTTTTTTTAATAAAACCTTTGTATTTTATTTAAGCCTTACTTAAAAAAAACTAAATTTAATTTTTTAAATAACTTTTTTCATGATAGTAGTTACGTAAGTAGTTAAGAATGAATGTAAAAAAAATCCAAATCCAAATGTTTACAATAGCTAAATTTAATTATATGTTAAAATATAAATCGATGAATAAATAATAGAATAATTAATTTCTTTCGATAAATTTCATTAAATATTCCTTAGCAAATAATGAATAGCAATCGCTTATAACGAACCGTAATAAACCATGAACGATGGTTCGCTCTGTTTGTTATTTTAGAAAAAATAAACAAATTTCATATACTTAGTTAGGACTTTGGTTCGTAGATATTATTCGAGTTGGTTCATTTTAACCGAAAGTTCGCTTTACCAGGTTCGTAACAAGCGGACATAGGTATGTATACTTTATATTAAAAAATGCACTTTTCAAATTCAGGGATCAGGCTTAACCTCAAAGAAAAAAATATTGGGTGTCTGAGTATACCCTCCATCATCCTTTTTAAGGAATCTAAGGTCCTCACCCCGCGTGCCAGCTAAAACCTTAGCTAGCTTTGCCGTGTCTGACATGGTGCTTGTTTGTGAGCACATGTCTCTCCACGATTCTCTTCGAGCATTCTTAATCAGATGATTATAGATACTTCTCGATGTGCTTCCCAAGCTGCCATCGTGTTAACTTTTTTAGCCCTATTGAAGAGCTTGCGTATCAGCTGCCTTCTATCCGAAAGCTCTTTGCTCCACCTAAGCTTACGCCGCTCGGTGTGCACCTTCTTTAGCGGACAGCTTTTCTCGTAAGCAGCCGTGATCGCCGTTCTGATCTCACGTTCACAACGGTCTAGATCTACGGGACTGCCATATCTACCCCTAAAGCCCACGAACCGCGATCGGAGTTCTTCATTAAACATCGACCAGTCTGTGTTCTTTGGATTCCTACACCACACTGCTCTAGATTCCACTCCTTGCAGAGTTAATCTTATGAGTCTGTGGTCTGACAGGGTGGGTTCCGTGGAGACTCTCCAAGACCCGACCCTCTTTGACAGATGTGGGTTACATAAGGTGAGATCTAGAACCTCCCTTCTGTTAACCGTGACAAACGTTGATTCATCGCCCTCGTTTAGAATATCTAAATTTGCCTCTAGTAAGTAGTCAAGTAGCTCTTCTCCCCTCTGGTTGGTATCAGTGGACCCCCACACCCGGCTGTGGGCGTTGGCGTCACACCCAACCAGCAGATCAAAGCCTTTCTCTTTACAGAACCTTACCAGTTTTCTCACCTCTTCTGGGGGTGTCTCCCTTTCATGGGCGAAATAGGCAGATGCCAAAACAATCTGCCTGCCACCCTGCCCATCAGTTCCACTTTTAGCAAGCTTGACAACAGCCAGGTCTCTTGTGGAAAATTCTTGTAAAAAGGCTGCATTCGCGCCCCTTACAATCACACAAGCCCTGGGTTCTTCTCCACATGCATGAACAGACCCAGCCGCACCAAGACCTCGGATGAGGCCCTTGTATTGCCATGGCTCTTGCACCAACCCGAAGGCAGGAAGTGTTCGCACCATAGACATGCACTTGGCCATAACAGCCGAGGCGCTTTTGCTATGATGTAAGTTTAGCTGAAAGATTTCGGCTTTAGACATAAACATAGCCATTGAAATAATCCTCCCACTCCTCCCTCAGGGTCCAACTGGTTTTTCTAGACGACTTTGAAAGTCGCCTGTCCCGTACCCAGATGTACCCTGTAGTTCCTGGCCTTGAGTACGTTGGCCGAATTCACGTCCACCCCGAGAACCAGAAGGGTAGAGTTCCCCTCTAGGTTCTCAGCCTTGTGGACGATCCAGTTCTTCGTCTCAAGGCCACTGTTTTGCAGGCTGATGAGTCTCAGCGCCTTTGCTGGCTCCAGTTTCGGGGACGGCACCTTAAGTGTCATTTTAACTCTCTTAATGAGTTCCTCTGGGCGTACAAGCCGCACCTGAGTTCCATCAGAGAGCTTCAACGACGGTTAGTACAGTCATCTTAGTCAAAAAAAGGGATCAACCTCGGAATCTAACGGAATAAGCTGAATTTTTGTGAAAACCTTTATTTTAGCATTACAAATGTTGTCTCAAAAGTCACATATGCCAACGTGTGAGCGACCTTAGATATTCAAGGTCAAAGGTCGCAAAAATCAGTTTTTTGATAATATCTCGTTTTGTATGCCTTCTATCGTATTTGCATTTATTATAAAAGTTGTAGAGAATGAAATTCTCTACAAATTTTGTTAAAAAAATTTTTTTATACGTCGAACCGTTTTTGAGATAGAGGGCGCAGAGTGTGGAGCGCTCAGCCATACGTACCTTTAGCGCAAGGTAAATCGGGAATCCCAATCTATTATACCGTTTTTTTAATTAATTATATAATAAATATTACTAAAATAAAAATTTAATACCTTATACTTATATTTATATTTCTTTTAAATCAAATATATTTTATCTTTATATATATCTTATATTTTAATTTAATTTTAATGAAGGATAATTGGATCGGAGTAGGAATAAATGTTTTTATTTATATCAATATTATTATTATTATTATTATTATTATTATTATTTATCTTTATCTTCTTCATCCTCGTCTTCTTCAGGTTGGCCAGCAATTTCAGACTCATTATCATCATCATGATGATGATGATGAGTGCACTCTCCTCGTTATCATTGACATTAATTGTCATATCTTCAAAAACTTACTTATAACGCGTTTGTACTTTGCTGATTTTTTTGCCTTTGTTGCCTCATCTGCGACTTCACCACAAAATAAGCACAATATTTTAAAATCAAACACATCATTCCCTTTTTTACGAGGTACAGTTGATGACGTTGAAGGTCCAGTCTCTTCAAGGCGACGTTTTGCTGCTGCAATTTTACTATAGTACGCTATAGCGTACAATTTTCGACACTTAATATGAACGTTCACAGAAGTCAAAGTAAATACTTTGACTAGTAGTAGTTTATGTTTATTTCTCTCAATAATTGCTTCTTTTAAAGTCTTTATACCGCGCACAAAAGTCACAGAATCACCTTCAGAAAGTAACTTATTACAAATAAAACACAAATCAGCCATGTTAACCTTTAAAGTATTACGAATATTACCTGTCACAACCCTAGACCTAGGTATACCTAGGGTCACACCTTGGTTTATATATAAGTATACCTAACCTTTTTATTTATAGCAAGCCCACTATAGTATTTCCAGGTCTGTTATTTTAAAAGCAATATCTGGATCCAAGAGATGACCAGAGACATATTCAAGGCAAATTCATTTAATGTCTTTTCTTCTTAAAATGCATTTATTATTAATTAGAATATTATTAGAATATATTTAGAATGATTCAATTCATTATTTAATTATTTGTATGTCAAAAGTAAGTAATATTTAATGGCTATTTGTTTTAAAAAAATATATAAAAATAAATAGAAGGTAATAAACTGTTATTTAAGTAATATTTAATAAATAATTAATTAAAAAAACGGTATAATAGATTGGGATTCATGATTTACCTTGGGCTAAAGGTACGTATGGCTGAGCGCTCCACACTCTGCGCCCTCTATCTCAAAAACTATTAGACGTATAAAAAAATTTAGTAAACAAAATTTGTAGAGAATTTTATTCTCTACAACTTGTATAAAAAATGTAAATATGATAGGTGGCAGAGAAAAGGAGATATTCTCAAAAAATTGATTTTTTCGACCTTTGACCTTGAATATCTAAGGCCGCTCACACGTTGGCATATGTGACTTTTGAGACAACATTTGCAATGCTAAAATAAAGGTTTGTACAAAAATTCAGCTTATTCCGTTAGATTCCGAGGTAATATGCCTAGATGACTGGACTAGGTACCACCTCTCGAAGCCACTTTTCAGTGTCCTCGTCCTCGCAGACGAAGATCACCTTCCCATGTTGTAGGACCGTATCCTTGAACTTCGGGATCACTCCCTCTCCCGTTAATTCCAGAATTTGGTTCAGGACACAGCCCTTGATTTCTTCGAAGACCGACATAGGCAGCTTCTCGCCAAGAGTCTCCCCAACAGTGACTAACACCTTTGGAAGGCTCGAAGCAAGAGCTGCAAATGCCGGTCCTCGCTGTCCAACGGGGTTAGGCCCCTGCCGTACCTTTTTAGTGGCCGGCTTCACCGAGGGGTCGGGGCCGTAGTTTGGCTTCCAGAGGCTTCCGGAGCGTCAGCCAGGCGAGTACTAGCCTCAGCCACGGCCTTCTTCTCCTTCTTCCTCTTGGAACCATTCTTCCTCTTTGGAGGAGGGTTACGAGGGGGAAGCCCCTTCCTTTCAGCCTCCTCCTTCTCCCTCATATATGTTTTCCAGGCCTGCTTTCGCTTTTGAGCTCCGCTGCCCTTCAAACCATCTGAGTTAACAGAGTCGCCTTCCTCCGCCACCTCCATCGACATGACTGTCGAAGTCGAAGGTATCGGATCGGACCCAGCAGGTACAGGCCCCGCCTGAGTTACCGACAACTCCGTTTCCTCAGTATGAGGAATGTCTTGCTGGGGAGAGGAGGGCAGGTCAGGCCCGTCCCTTTCCCCCTCAGCAAGCTTCATCTTATGCATTTGCATAAGGTTGCTTTCACCTTCCTGGTTCTTGCGAACGCCAGAAGGCTCGTCCTTACCCACCTCACTCAATGTTTCCACCGACTGAGATGGTTTAGGTGCTTTCTCGGCGGGTACTGGCCCCTGCCGTTGGTTTTTATTTGGTTTATCCATATAAATCCCACGAGTAATTGAGGTTCAGGTAGACCACACCAAGCTCCCTCTTGCCTGGGCTAGGCTTGCCATCGAGACTCAAGAGCCTCGATGGCTACTGCAGGAGGTCGCCCGGTATCCTGCAGGGACCGTTAGAGACACCGCATCCCCGGTGCCATGCATCCCTCGGCACGGTACACTGCACACCTTGGATTGGGGCGCATAGGATACTCCCGAAGGAGTACCACCCAATGGAAAAGTGCGCGCAATTCCATTGGTGGGCTGCTTTTTCGTCGCCATCGAGACCGGCGCGGGTTGCCTCATTCATTCCTGCCTTTCATGGGAGGAGCCCGTTTATAGGGACTATCTAGCATTCACAGCAGAGCCCGTTTATAGGGTTGCTCATTCGCCCATCTCTCAACCGCAACCCGAACCATTGGCCTCGAAGCTTAGCCCCCGGACCAGCGTCAAGGTCCTGCAGCCCCCACCAGGGGACTACAATATATTAAAAAACGCGTCCCTAATGCTAATGTATCTTGCACAGAATTGGAAGTAAAATCAAAGAACTATAAATCATACAAGATTACCTTACCAGCAATACATAAGAAGGAACTACTGGAACCTGAATTCTGGCCTAACCATGTAGCTGTTAAAATGTTTCTGGAATTTCAGTCCCGGAACCAAACGGCAAAAAAGGCTAGCTGATAATTATAATCTGAATTATAAAAGATACAAATTTTCGGAAAAAAACTCAAGAGGCAAACAAAAACTACCAAGAGGTAGTAGTAAAGGTCGCATAGAGTTGGAAATCATTTATTAAAATGTTTAATCAATTGGTAATAAAATTGATCGAATAGAAAATATGATGAAATGTTTTGAAAAGTGTATTGCAATATGTCTCACTGAACACTGGAAGTCTGCTGAACAGCTCATACTCTATCCAATAGATGGATTCAAATTAATTTCTTGCTACTGCAGGAATGAAGGAGAACATGGTGGATCTGCGATTTACTGCAAGAACTCAATAAAAAGCAAAGGAAGAAATGACATTGTAAAAAAGTCTATAAAAAATGTTTGTGAAGTGTCTGCTGTTGAATGTGACGTTAGTGAAAGGAAAATAATAATATTACGTGTATATCGTCCCCCCATAAGTGATTTTGTGGTTTTTATTGAGGTTTTAAATGAAATCTTAAATATTATTTTTTATGAAAACTGTTCGATATTTGTGGCAGGAGATTTCAACATAAATTTGCTGGTAAATAGTCAAATAAGTCTTGAGTTTAAATCATTGTTTGAAACCTATGATTGTTATCCATCAATTCTTGAGGTTACAAGGCAAGAAAATGCATCTAAGACATGTATAGATAACATTTTTACTAATACAAAAAACTATAGAACCAAAAACAGGGAGTTTCATATATCAGATCATATGACTCAAATTATTTATTTTAATGATAAAAATTATAAAGTTCTTAAAAAAATAAAGAGTTGTTTAGGAAAAAGCTGGCTGGGGAGAACTGGCTGGATGTATTTTCTTGCAATGTAGCTAATGTTGAAAAGCAGTGGAGCTGTTTTATAAATATATTTGTACCTATATTTAATGAATGTTTAAAAAAAAAGAAAATTGAATGTAAAAGTAAAACTTATGCTTGTGATCAAATTGTAAATGTAATAAAGGAAAGATTGGATGTTTTGTTAATGTTAAGTAGATTTAATAATGATTTTAAGCGACTGTACGATGTAACAAAAGTGCAGTATGAGATGAATTTAGTATTGCAAATGATTTTAACAATTTTATTATTAATAGTGTAGGTGAAATAATATCAAACTTAGAGCAGAGGGCATATGACTCTGAAATAGAATATAATAGTAACTCAATGTTTGTAAAGGAGGTCACTGAAATTGAAATACTAAATATCATCTCAAAGTTAAAAAATAAGATGAGTTTTGATGAAATACCTACAAGCATTATAAAAACCTGCAGACTTGAAATTTGCAAACCTCTCTCATATATTGTTAATAATTCTCTAATGCATGGTGTTTTTCCAGCCTATTTAAAAACAGCTATAGTAACCCCGGTGTTCAAAAAAGGTGATCCTACTAGTTTAAATAATTACAGGCCAATCAGTATGCTTCCTTTATTTTCAAAAATCTTTGAAATGGCGATGGTTGAGAGAATATTAGATTTCTTTCATACTTT